AAATATCCTCAGAGAATTGATTCTTAGCAGAATCACTTTATGAAATGCATTAGTGGAGACAGGAAACAATGCTGAAATGGAGAAAGGGAGACTTACTAATAATTTATTCAAGAGCTTGGCAAGTAGAGCGGTAAGGCAGAATGGAGACTATGGAGGCCTTTAAAGAGAAAGCAGAAATGGAGGGAATGGATAGTAGACTCCTTTCACCAAGGTACTAAGAACAAATTAGTTTCTCTGTTTTTTGTCATTTTTTTTTTTCTTGGTGGTTCTTGGGCGGGTTTGGAGTTTATTTGCTGAAGTTCTTTGGTGCTAGTTTACAAGGCAAAACCAACCAAACAACACAATTGGAATAATAATTATAATTTTTTTAAAAACACGGTCAACAACTTTCAGTCATTTCTTTATATGTTGTATTTTGACAAATCATTTCTTAAACAAATACAAAATAATCTAAAAGGAGAAAAAGCTATACATGGACTTTTTACACCGCTGATAAATAGACAGTACTGATCCAGGAGCGTCTCTGTCCAGGAATTCTTAGGAGACCCTGGCGAAGCACGGGCCTGCTGGGACTCTGGCTCCAGCTGTACTGCTGGCCCTTGGGCCCACACGGCCTGCTTCTGTGCTCAGTTCTCCAGCGGGGAGTTCTCCATCTCTGTCCCCTTCACAAGCCCCCCAAAATGCCTGAAGCCTCTCCAAATGGGATCTGTGGGAGGAAACCCGCCCCACCACAGAGCTATTTCCAGAGATGCTCATCTACCTCACGAGGTCAGAGGAGCCAAAGCCAGGCCACATAGCCCTGTGGAGACCCATGGCTCCTCTGCCTGACTGAAGGCAGCGCCTGCCACCCCGGCCTGGGCATGCCACCTGCTCTACCTGGCCCCACCTGCCTCACCAGGCGGAGTGGTGCAGCTGCCCTGAGAGTCCTGGAGAGAAGGTGGAAGAATGCCGAGCTCTGTAGCTCCCTTCGCACCACTGGGCCTGAGCTGGGCGGGCAGAGCTGCTGCTCATCCATTCCTGAGTTTCTCTGTTCTTTAGGTAGCTGGGCTCCTTAAAGCCTTTGAATTTGTTTGATGCTGGCATTACTGAGAGGAAAACTCTAAGCCCAAGGATGCTCTTGGTGAAGCATTTAAGGGAGGCTCTGAGGTCTCAGGCTCTTTCCAGGAACAGGCCTATTCTGGCCTCATGAAGTGTTAATGGTTTCCTACTCATCAATGTTTCATTTTTTAGTATTTTCAATGCAACTTCAAAATTATTTATGCTAATGATTGCCCCAAATCCAATAATGACAATAAACCAAAATACCCACTCCAAGCAAATCCTCTACTCCAAATATTTCATAGTCTTTTACATTCCTCAAATGAGAGCTGATTACTTGCTTATAATCTGCACACAGCACAGATCCCATAACGGGAAATGGCTTGAAGCATCCTAATGGACTTGGGTTTCTTAATCTATTTTTAAAGCTATTATCAGTAACTCTTCCCAAGGATGAGGTGGAGGGCTGTTTAATATATCAATGGTTTATTTTCTTCTCACCTGAGAATATGTCAGTTGGTGTGGCAGAGTTGTAGAAAGAACAATGCAAGTGTCACCACCCTATGGCATCTTTCCAGAGCTCCCAGTCTTTGCTCTGTGTGCCTACTATACACCAACACATATTCTGCTACAATGCTGCATTCATTTTTATGCTAGGCTTCTGAACTGGGCTGAAGGCTCCTTGAAGACCTTTTGCCTGTTTTTGCCTCTGCACAGCTGTGTCCTGGGTGTGGAATATGTTACAGGCACAATAAATGGGAAATTCTAATACACTGTTGGTGGGAGTGTAAATGAGTACAACCATTATCAAAATATAATGGATGGTCCTCCAAATGCTAGAAAGAGTACTACCATACAATCTAGCAATCTAAGTACTGGGTCTGTATCTAAAGGAAATACAATGAATAAATCCAATAGACACTTGTATTCCTATGTTTCCTGCAGCACTAGTTACAGTGGCTAAGACATGAAGACAATCCAGTTATCCATCAGCAGATAAGTCGATGGAGGAAAGGTATATATACAATACAGATTCTATTCAGCCATAAAAGAACACTATCCAGCCATAAAAGACAACATGGATGAACCCACTGAATATTATCCTGAGTGAAATAAGGCAGGCACAGAAAGACAAAGACTTTGTGATCTCATTTCTACATGGAATCTAATGGAGCTGATCTCATAGAAGTCAAGTAGAATGGTAGTTACCAGAAGCTTGGGTGGTTGCAGGGAAGAGAGACAGGGAAGTATGGATTAAATATATGATTATAATTAAATAGGAGGGGGGAAAAGCCCAGAAGAAGAAAATTTATAGAGATAAAATAGATGAGCTATTGCCAAAGGTCTTGTGTACAGTAAAATTGGGAATGAAAATTAAGGAATGGTTAAGGACTTTCTTGGGTGATGAAAATGTACTAAAATTGTAAGGAAGTTTACACAAGTTGTTGCATATATTAAAAACTATTGAGGTGTTTAAATGGGTGTGTGAATTACGCCTTTTTGTATGTTTGCTGATCTTGGGGCTTGAACTTAAGGCCTGAGCACTGTCCTTTAACTTTTTCCCTCAAGGCTGGTCCTCTCCCACTTGAGCCATAATTCTACTTCCATCTTTTTGGTGGTTAATTGGAAATAACAGTCTCATGGACTTTCTTGCCTGGATTCTCAGATCTCAGCCTCCCAAGTAGCTAGGATTACAGACTTGAGGCACTGGCTCTCAGACAAACTGTCTTTTAATGAAGCTGTTAAAAGAGCTGGGAATATGGCTTTAGTGGTAGACTGCTTGCCTACCATGCTTAAAGCCCTGGGTTCAATTCCTCATTACTACATAAACAGAAAAAGCCAGAAGTGGTGCTGTGGCTCAAGTGGTAGAGTGCTAGCCTTGAGCAAAAAGTAGCTCAGAGACAGTGCTCAGGCCCTGAGTCCAAGCCCCAAGACTGGCAAAAATAAATAAACAAAGCTGTTAGAAATAAGCACAGAATTAGTGATTAAGTATCAAATGAAATCAAGATTTTCCCTTTTTTGGACATAGGATCTTATTATGTAACTGAGGTTGGATTGGAACGTGGGATCTACCTGCTTCAGGCTCTGAGTGCTAGAATTTGATAAGATTTTTGAATATTTTTAAAAAGCACTTCAAAAATAAATGTTTATTTCAAAAACTATTTAAATAAAACAAGACCAGACTATACCTGAAATACAGTAGGTACTCAGTAACTTTTTCGTATGAGTATCACAATATAACTCTGGAAGTAAAGAAAACCACAGAATAAACAGTAGCCATTCTTTTTCTTTCTCTCATCCATAGGGGAACTCTACCACCTAAGCCACACCTTAACCCCCCCCCCCCCCCCCAGAACAGTGGTCTCTCTTTAGGTGCAGTTGCTTCAAGTGTTGAGAAGCTGTTCAAACAAAAGGTGAAATCCTCAAATCACTGTCCATGCTTCAAATACTTACTGATGCTAAAAAAATTAATTGGAGAGATTGTCTCACCAAGTTTTATGTTATCTTTCCACTGGTTTTAGGGAAGCCTTGCAGAAAAAGTCTGAAAAGTTGTAGGTACATTTTGTGATTTTTGTTTTGCATCTTTCTATAAGAAGGTGAGCTATGAGTAAAGGGGAAAAGACATCACGTGTTGACATCTGCAGAAGTTTAACTCTTTTTTTTTAAATCTTTTTTTGGGGGGAGCCTGAACTCTGGGCCTGGGCGCTGTCCCTCAGCTCTTCAGCTCAAGGCTAGCACTCTACCACTTGAGCCACAGCACCACTTCCGGCTTTTTTTTTCCTTATGTGGTGCTGAGGAATCGAACCCAGGGCCTCGAGCATGCAAGGCAGGTGCTATACCACTGAGCCACCTTCCCAGCCCCAGGTTTAACTCTTTTTAAAAGTAACTTTCATATTATCTTTTCTGGGCTTCACCACTTCCCCTTGAGCAGGAATGATCAACATCCTCTTTTTACAGATTAGGAAACTGAAATGACTAAATCTTATCTAAATCTGATCTACTCTTCAGGGAACAGGGCAAGGAGATGCTATTATCAAAGAAAAATTGTTCTGACATAATGAAGTCTATTTTTTCCTACCTTTTTTCTTTGTGTGGTACTGGGAAGCGAATATGGGGGGGGGTCTTCAGCAAGCTAGGAATAGCTTTTAACAATGAGACACAATCTTCCATCTCTCAGAATGGCTCATTATACAAAGCTACCACAAGCAGTTATGAGTAGGAGTCATGAATTGAAATAGGGGAAAGAAACTAAGCTCAACTCACAAAACAGTAAATACATCTGGGGATTTGTAGCCAAGGGAAAAACGAATGAAAGGAGTCAATAGATGGAAAATTACCAAGAGGAAATTACCGGGAGGGTAGGGGGATTCTGGCTAAAGGCTGGTTAGATTTATTTACACACTAAAGGTGCGAGGATGAGAAATCTGTTGATATTAACAGATCAGATATCAAGGTCAGATGACTTGGCAGGATTCTGGCTAAGCCTGACTTCAGCTGGGGCAGACTGGCCCAAATAGAGGCCGAATACAAAAGAGGGACGAGAAGCACCTAACTTAATAGTTTGGGTCATGAGAAGAGCTGTCACTCGGCCCAGTCAGACCTCCTTATTACTCATCCCCAAACAAGAAGAGTGAGGGGGTGGGCAGCACGGCTCTGGGATTGTGGGTAGGGAGGCTTGCTCCCCTTTAAACGCAGCGTTGCCCAGCAGCAGGGGCTAAGTAGGCCGAGTTCGACGACCACCAGAGGAACGTGCGTCGGAGCAAAAGCTCCACACCACGCACCACGCTCCGCCCCTCCAGCTGCACCCAACCTCGGGGCGGGCTCTGCAGGTCGGAGGGGCGGGGCCGTCGGTCCTGATTGGGGGGGGGCATCGGTCCTGATTGGCGGTCGGTCCCGGCCAGGGGTTTCCCCGGCTCCGCCCCCCGCCGCCGCGGCCGTCGCCGCCGCCGCTCCTCAGCCCGCGAGGCCGAGCTCTGGCGGATCCCGAGCTGCCCGGCGGGAGGGGCCCGCGCTGCGTTCCTCCCTCTACCGGTCCTCATTAAAGCACGAGTCCACACGCTCCGCCTGTTGGATAGGGTGCTGAGCACCGGAGAGGGAGCAGTAGTAGCAGGCCAGGGCCGAGCCGGGAGGGCCTGAGGCGACAGGGCTGCCGCGGCTGGCACGCCGGCGCCTCAGCCCCGCTCGAGTGTGTGCGGGAGCTGTGAGGGGAGGGGTCCCGGGAGCCATTGTTGGTGGTCAGAGTGCCTCCTGGCCCCAAGTCCGCCCTCTCGGACCGAGAGCAGCCGTCGCCCGCCCCTGGACCCGGGCTTGAGACTCGGGTACCTCCAGCCGCCTGCCCGCCGCGCCGTCCGCCGCCCGCAGCCCAGGTGGAGACCATGTTTGACAAGACGCGGCTGCCGTACGTGGCCCTCGATGTGCTCTGCGTGTTGCTGGGTACGTAGGCGCCGCGGGCCCGAGGGGCGTGCGTGCGCGCGGGCCGGGGTGGGCGGGGTGGTGCGCCGACGTGCGGGCCGGGGTCCCCCGGGCCGGGAAGCCTGCCCAGCCGCCGCGGCGCGTGGGGTGGGTGTGCCTGGCGCGGGCGCCGCTGCCGGGCGAGACGCGGGGCGGGGGTGCTTCCGCAGCGCGGGACCCCGCTTTGCAGCCTGCACCCCAGCTCCCGCGTGGCCGCCACTGCCTTGTCTGTCGCCCGCTCGGTGCGCTGCGCCCAGCCCTGCTTTGCGCCTCTGCGCTCGGTCCTCCGCTCCTGTCCTCTGTGTCTAGCAGGCAGAGGGGCTGTTCCCCCTCGCCCACTGCAGGCAGTCCCGGCCACAGGCTCGTCAGGTTCTGTGGAGAACCTGGCGGGTGTGCGCGGGGGCTTCTCAAGTAGCAGGCGCCAGTGCCTGGGTTAATCTTACTTGTGAGAAAGTTTAATTTTTCGGCTATAAAAGGCTAGAAGGCTCCTTAATTAGAAGGTGTTGCCAAGTTGTAAATTGTCAGGTTGCAAGTAGGGATGAGAATGCCAAGTTCCTGTCTGTAGGTCTGAGGACGCTTGCTTTAGGGTGGAGGGGAGGGGCCCGGTGTGTGTGTGTCTGTGTCTGTCTGTCTTGCAGGCTGCGGTTTCCTTCTCTGGGCAGACCTGGCGGTGGTTAGCTTTTCATCTCCTGAGACAATCCTGCCAGGAGCTGCAGCAAACTTGGCGTTGTTTTCCTTATCGAAAGACTGCAGTTCTAGCGTTTCTGGTTTCCAGGTGCTGCTTCTTCCTTAGGATGAGAAAGAATTGGACACACTTAGAGAAAGGGATAGGCGTTGGAAGGAGTGGCAGGCAGTTACGAACTATTTATGTTAGGGAAAACAGCAAGACCTGCTGGAGGTTTGGTAGTGCGACTCCTGTTTAAGTAATCTAAGTAGTAGTCCTGGCAAGTCCTCAGGGTCCCAGATGCTTGCCTTGGCTTTCCCGCATCCAAGAATCAGGTCTGTATAATGGCTTCTCAGGGCAAGGAGTTTCCTCCTGTTTTAACTCAGTAATTCTAGAATGTTCAACTCTCCTTCCATTTAGGTGCTTACAATCTTAACAAAGTCATATAAACGCTGGTATTTTTTTTTTACCTCTCAGGAAAAATTTCTTTTTTATAATTATAATTATAGTAATTATTATATATGTACAAAAGGATTCAAATTCCATGTCAGGTTATGAGAACAATGTTTCTTGGTCCTTGTTATCCCTTCATTCTCCCTTTCCTACCCCTACATAGTTCATTTTTTATTGTTATTATTAAGGACTTGTAACTCAGGTTATGAGCACAATGCTCCTTGATTAGTGTTACTCCTTCACGTTACATAGTTTTGTTTTTTTTTTACATAACCTATATTGAATATAAGGACTACATTTGTTTACCTCTCTTCTATTCCTGTGGAAAATTCCTTTTGGTATCTATGAAACTTCTTTATTGTTTACCAGAATACTTCTATGTAGTTCCATTGCGAATTTTAGGTGAAGAGATACAATTTTTGACAATCTTTAGGCCAAGCGTGATTGTGCATTCTGTGATCCCAGCACTTGAGATGCTGAGGAAGGAGGCTCTTGAATTGGAGGCTTGCCCAGTCTGAATAGCTAGATCCTGTTCTCTATCTCTCTCACACACACCTTAATATACTTACATATTTACTTGCAGTGAAAAGTTTACTTTTGGTAAAAATGTTAACTTAGAAATATATTTTAATATTTACTGGAATATCATCAGACGTCATCTATATTTCAGTGAAAGGAGAGAAGAATGGTTAATTAGAAATAATTTTGTTAGTTTCAGTGTATTTTCACATATTCTATACTTTACAGTCATATATTAACCTCTCTTTTCTTACCATATGGGATTATTAACTTGTAAAATAAGGTGAGACCTAACAATGATGAGACGAATGAAACAGAATATATGTCGCTCTTAGGTAGCTGAAACTGTTATACAAAACTTTATGCAAGTTCCATTTTCTTTTTTTTAAATCACATATAAGGGAGACTGTAGTACAAATTAATGAATTAATGAATTTTATTTTCAGTATGATGCAAACATAATTGTTTGTTTCTTAGAGGTTGGTGTAATTTTTTTTCTAAATTGACCTGATGTTTCGAGGAACATGATGATTTTTAATAAGATATTTAAAAATTTCATTAATGGTTCACAAGAAGCTTTTTTTTGTGGACTTGTGAACTTTTTGAAAAAACACTATTTGAAACATATTTGTTTTCATATTATTCAAGTTTCTCTTATAATTCATTGTGTTAAGATAAATGTCAGCTTCACATTTTCTAAATGGTAGCTACCAGTCTGAGAATGTGGCTTAGTGGCAGAATGCTTGCCTAGCATGCCTTGGGTTCCATTCCTCAATACCACATAAATAGTGAAAACTACAAGTGGTGCTGTGGCTCAAGTGGTAGAGTGCTATCCTTGAGCAAAAGAAGCTCAGGGACAATGCCCAGGCCCTAACTTTGAGCCTCAGGACTGGCAAAAAAATAAATAGCAAATACCTTACTTTTCTTCATTACTTTAATTAGATATGAAATTTAATATTTTTCTATAGTTAAACATTTTTCTAGTGTGAACATAGGGACCATATTGTTTGGTTTCTATTTACTGTCAGCAGTAAAATCATGGAAGAGGTTATCGATTTGGCCTTAACTTTTTCTTAACTTTATCTGCAGGTAAGAATTGACTATACCAGCAAAAGGATGATTAAGCATTTTATAAGTACAGGGCTTTGTGCAAGTGCTTCATAATTATAATGTGAATATGTTCCAGATTATGTTAATGACCACTCTAACATCATTCTGTATTTCCATTTTAATGTGATGATGTTATGTGATTTTGTTTTAAAAGTACTTTATAATTTTACCATGGGTAATGTCTTCTGAAGTGAGGATTAAACATGCTCTGTGTGTATATTTATGTGTATGTTTCTACCCCCTAAATTGTCTTTATTGTCAGTGTGCAGCATTAATTTCTCTCTATATACATGCTCAAGTTATGTGTCCTTTCAGTGTAAATCCTTGGAAACAATGAGAATTTTGATAGATAACCTACATTTGATTCTTTTCTGAAATGAAGTCATCTTACTCTGGTTCTTCTGATGAATGGTTCTGTCAATGTAGAAAAGGCCATATTCTCTAAAGAGAATGATAAAGGAGTGGTATGAAAATGACTGTATTAAACTATCTTGGATACAGTTTATTAGTGTTTAATTGCTAAGAATCATTCCCTGTTTTTGTCATGCCGTTAACCATTAATTGATTATGTGTACATTGATTGAAGGCCACCTTCGTACCTTGCTATGTGCTAGTGATACAAAGATGAAAAATCCTTGTCCTATATATATAGTACATTATGATAAGTGGAATAATGCAGGTATGAGTGCCCTTGGACCTGTAATCTGTAATACCCTTTGATCCTTATGCGTGCCTTAGATCTATATAGAAATGGTTCTTTACTCTGAGAAATACAGAAATGCCAGAAGTAAATGTAGATCTCTGGATTTACATGTTAATGGGTTATTTGCAGAAAGTCCCAGGATGTCTAGAATATGTGGAGGGAACTAATGAAAATCTTTCTCTGTGTCTGTGTTTTGCTTTGTGGCAGTCATTTAGAATACCTTTTCTGTGCTACATATGCTCCATTTTCCCCTCCAGATCTTTTCTCCACTCTGCTCTGTCCTTTGGGAAGCACCTTCCATTGACTACCTCAACTGAACCCTTGCTTTTTTAAAGAGCCAGTTCCCTCCTGATGGATTTGTGTGGCAAGGGCTTTCTGTGTTCTGTGAGTAGGTCACAACTCATATTCAATAGCCCTCTCTGTCGCCTCGCTACAGTTACAGATGTTCTGGTAACCTTTCTCATTCTTTTGGACTTAGAGATGTTAATTTTTTTTGGGGGGGGGGAGTCCGGTCGTGGACCTGACCTCTGGGCCTGGGCGCTGTCCCTCAGCTCTTCACCTCCAGGCTAGCACTCTACCACTTGAGCCACAGCGCCACTTCTGGCTTTTTTTTCTGCTTATGTGGTACTGAGGAATCGAACCCAGGGCCTCATGCATACAAGGCAAGCGCTATACCACTGAGCCACCTTCCCAGCCCCAGAGATGTTAATATTTTCCAGATGTTGCTGTACACCACCATTGCTTGATGCTTTTTCCAAGTCCTACATATATTGTTGAGAATGGTTCCTTTAGTAAATTCTCTTGAAAATATCATTTGAGTGTTTTGTTGTTGTTGATTCCTCCTCCTCTTCCTCCTCCTCGTGTGTGTGTGTGTGTGTGTGTGTGTGTGTGTGTGTGTGTGTGTATGTGTGTGTGTGTGTGTGTGTGTGTGTGTGAACTCTGGGCCTGGGCACTGTCCCTCAGCTCTTCAGCCCAAGAGTAGCAACCTACCACTTGAGCCACAGCGCCACTTCCAGCTTTTTTCTTTTTGCTTATGTGGTGCTGAGGAATAGAACCCAGGGCCTCAGGCATGCAAGGCAAGTGCTCTACCACTGAGCCACCTTCCCAGCCCCTCCTCCTCATCTTTTCCTTCTTCTTCCTCCTCCTCTCTCTACTTCCTCTTCCTCCTCCTCTTGTGGGGGGAGGGGGCAGAATTGTATTGATAACACCCATCTATGTCCAACTATATGTGAGGTAAGCTTTTCTTTCTAGACATCAGTTCCAGCTTCCCTCATTAGCAGATGCAACAGGCATCTTTGGGGCCTGGTGTTGACTTTCTTAGGAGGGAACAGGTTATGGTTTCCTTAGCATGCGCTAAATGTGGAATCACTAGGTAAGAGAACAAAATCTGGCAGCAAAAAATGGTGGTTGTGGAATCCCTATGACTTGTTATCCCAGTATTAATTACCTGGAATATGGATGTCTTTTGTTATCACTTATAATGCTGACATCATTCTACCCCATTATAAATATACCCCTAAGGAATGGTACCTT